TTTTGATGTTTTGGGCTCTTTTGTGTTTAGAACAATATATACTAATTTTGAAGTATCAAATTGAATTTTTGTTCAATAAAAATCTTACAAATGCGACTGTAGCTTTTTTTCCCCAAAAATTTTGTCTTCAAAATAAGGGTGCGTCTTATATTCCGAAAAATACGGTACTTAAATTTCAAATATTAAAGTTGGAAACTTGACATGGAATAATTTAACAAACTGTATTTCCATGTTTCACTGACCCATCTTTTCAACAGTGTCAATTTTGTACAACTATTTTTGTGTATAGTATCCATTATAATTGAACTGAGTAGGCTAATTGAATTTATAGTTTTATAGAGTATTACTGTCTTTAATTAATGTTCTTAGGTTAGAGGGTTTGTTTGTTTGAAGTTAAGCACAAATGGGCTATTTGTGCTCTGCCCACCACGGGTATCGAAACCCGGTTTCTAACGTTGTAATTCTGCAGACATACCGCTCTGACACTGGGGAGCCAAATTAAATACTCAAAAAGATTAAAGGGTAACAGATAAAGCTGTACTGTTTAAAAGTCATAGTTAATTTCAACAGCAAATCAGATTTCAAATATCGTTAGCCTGTTCAAAATGGATTACTCATTAAATTATTGTAAAATTTGTTTGTGTTTAATTGCAAAGTAATACAATTGACTATTTGCACTGTGCACACTGATGGTATCGAATCTCGAGCTTTAGCGTCATAAGCCCTTAGCGTCTTACCGCTAAGCTACCAGTGCAAACAACCTTGGTTTATCTTCAAACAAAGCAATAATGTCTGCAAGATCTATTAGAAGGGTTAATCAAGACTTTACTACGTTAAGTCTCACATATTTTTGGCCTAGTTCTTTATTTGTCGGACTATGGATCGAAATGTCTTAGGTTCGAGACGTGACGCTGCTGAACAAATTTCACACTTTCAGTTGTGGGCAAATTACAAAAGTGACAGCAATCACGTTATTGGGTTCAAAGAACCGGACAAAAACCCTCATGGCGCCGGATGTGTTGCTGGCTAGTTGATCATATTCTGGTCAACAGTTCAAAATTATGGAGGGGTGTACCTGATTTTATTGGCCTCTTTCCTGACCTTTTAGTACAGGTAAGTGACGTACAAGTTGGAAATTTCAATTCCTATTCATATTACCAGATAAAACACCGAAACTATTTTTAAAACTCTTACTGTTTTGTTTTTGTCCCGGTGACTTATGCGTAAGTCAGTGGACTTATAACGCTAAAAACAAAATCGAATTTCGATACCCGCAGCGGGCAGAGCATAGAGTGTCCATTGTGTAGCTTTAAAAATAAACAAACAAAAATGCTTTCAAGGAGAATAATCTCTTTGTAACGCTATAACGCTGAGAAGTGTTATTTGCAATGTTTATTTATGAATTTTAATTGGGTCTAACATTTAATATATCAAAGGATTAAAGCTCAACTTTAACTTACTTGGCACAGAAAAGGTTCCACAAACATTTACTGCTTCTAACATATTATCAGGATCGATACCTCCTCCTCCTTTGACTTCCACGTAATCAGTAAAGCCACGCTCTTTACACTAGACCAAATAATAACAACATCATTCAGGCTTTATATTTGAACTTCAACCTTTCTCACTGTAAACTATTATAAACTGATTAGACTTAAGTATTACGAAAGATTATAATGCTCAGAATATAATACCCTTAAATTAGAAGCTAATACGTACAAAAACCATTATATAATCGGATTAATGAAAAACGAATGGATATTTGGAAATTTTCTTGATAATTACGTACCCAGTTAATACTACTAGGCAATTATCCTGATAAAACAATTCAATTGAGTTTTTTTTTTTAAAACCAACTGTGTAAGTTCACCATTGTTTACAAATTAAATCACTAAAATTTAAATACAGTGATCATATTTATTTATTTTTACGTTAAACGTTTTACCCTGAAGAATTTGTTTGTTTGTTTGTTTTGAATTTCGCGCAAAGCTACACGAGGGCTATCTGCGCTAGCCGTCCCTAATTTAGCAGTGTAAGACTAGAGGGAAGGCAGCTAGTCATCACCACCCACCGCCAACTCGTGGGCTACTCTTTTACCAACTCTTTTTACTCTTTTACTTTTACTTGACCGTCACATTATAACGCCCCCATGGCTGAAAGGGCGAGCATGTTTGATGTGACGGGGATTCGAACCCGCGACCCTCAGATTGCGAGTCGAGCGCCTTAACCACCTGGCCATGCCGGGCATCTACCCTGAAGAAGAAAGCTTTCGGGTTATAGGGATTTTGTATCAAGTCTTTTTAAGCCTACGTGTTTTTTTTTTGACATCATGAACATAAATTTAATCACAATCCTTCCTTATATCAATGTATTGATAGTTCTATACTTACGTGTGATATTCAGATATCATTTACTTATTTTAACCTTTAATAGCTGCAACACAATTGAAACATGTTTTAAGAAATACATTAACATGAACAATTTTTTTAAATATAGATATATGTTTCGGATATGCAAGATTTTCCTCTAGAATTTCTATCCCTTAATTGTTCATTATTGTATAGAGAATTTTAAAATCACGACAGGTTTTACTTTATTGTCTCATTAGCTAGGGGCGTAGCAAGCGGTGCAATTAGTATGGGATTGATTGCACCATTTCATGAATCAAAATCATTGATAAAATACCATTACAAAAGATCTTTATAGTAATATACTGTTCATTATATTTTACTTTTTAATTTGTCTGCAATTTCAGTCATTAAATATCCATATTATCTATGTTATACTTTAACAGTTACTTATTGAAATTATTGTCAATGGCAGTTTTCACTTCATAGCAATAATGATGGCTTTACGCCACATTTTCAAACACTATAAATACTTTCAAAATCTCTAAAATCTAGGATATTTCCAGAACGCCACTTTGGCTGTAGCACTATTTGGGAGTCATTGCAACCTGCATTTTTTTACATTATACGAGTTTTCACAAGTCAAAAGACGTGCATAAATGTGATAAAATAATAGATGTTAGTTAATACGACAATTATGACATTACAAGGAAACATCTCTCTTTTTTTTCTTTTTCTATAGCCCCCAGTGGCACAGCGGTATGTCTGCAGACTTATAACTCTAGAAACTGGGTTTTGATACCCATGGTAGGCAGAGCAGAGCTAGCCCATTGTGTAGCTTTGTACTTAACAAGAAACAAACAAACTTGCTGTATAAACTGAACTCTGAGTGCATTTTTGTAAAATGACAAAAATACTAATCTTGTTTGTTTTTATTTGTTTCAGAGAAATGTCACACTGGGCTATCTGCTGTGTCCACCACGATGAATCGAACTTCGGATTTTCGTGTTGTAAGTTCGTAAACTTACCACTGAGATATTAATCTGAGATCGTTATTCAAGCCCCCCAGTGGCACAGCGGTATGTCTGCGCACTTACAACGCTAGAAACC